ATTTGAGCATCATAATAAACATTGAAAGTAATGGAATGTATTTATTGATTAAAATTAGATTCCACGATCCCACACTGACAAAAATGATTAAACTAAATGAAGTAGAGAGGAAAGCCCTTTATCATAAAAAAGGCACTACTGTAGAAGAAATCTAATACTTGTAAAATAAATGATATAATTAGGAACCAGCATTTGGCAGCCGTCATAGTAATAATTGATGGGATAGATGTTAAAACTACTGGGTGAATATTTAATGAGAAAGGATAATTGCATATTCTTAAATTATTGCACCAAAATTACTTATTAGTTTCAAAAGGAAAAACTAACTTTACAGTGGAAAGACTTGACAGCCGAGTACTACAGGTGATCCTTGTCAGGATGGACAGACTTACATTGCTTGCTTTCTGATACAATGCACATCACCTGCCAAAACCTGAATCCAATCATGAGGAGACATCACAAATCCATCATTTTGGAAATTCCACACAATAACTGCCCTATAACCTTAAAAAAGTCAAGGTCATGAAAAATAAAGAACAGAGAGAAAAACTATTATAGATTAAAGGAGATGAAAGAGATATGATGACTAAAGGCAATGCACAATTCTAGATTGGATCCTGGGTCAGAAAAAAATGTTTTCTTTTGCTGTAAAAGATATTTTTAGGACAGTGGGTACATTTTGAATAAGATCTGTAAGTGAGAAAAAGGTACTTATCAGTGTTAGCCCCCTGGTTTTAACAATTTTGCTAGGTTATGTAAAATAATGTTATTTTTAGGAAATATGTATTGAAGTATTTTGGCGTAAATGGGCATAGTGACTTCAACTTACTTTAAAAGAGTATAGGGAAAATGTGTCTTATGTGTAGATATAAATAAATACACAACACCTACATGGTTATATATTGAGAAGGAATTGAGGGGAGAATGATAAAGCAAATGTGATAAAATGCCTGGGTGAAGATGAAATTTTGTTTCTCTTTTAATGCTTCTAAAAGTCTGAAATTATTTTAAAATAAAAAATTAATTGAAAAAGTGATTGGGTTTCACTAGATGTTGGGCAGGGAAGACATTCATGAAAGAAGAACACTCTTAGGGGAATGTGAGCCAAGATCCAAAGTGGAAAAATACAGGTCTTGGTGAATGGTAATTGTCCATTAGCGTAGATCAGAAACATTGAGCCCAGCTGGCGTGACTCAGTGGCTGAGCATCTACCTATGAACCAGGAGGCCTCGGTTCAATTCTGGTCACGGCATATGCCAGGTTGCAGGCTCAATCCCACTGGGGGGCATGCAGGAGGCAGCCAGTCAGTGACTCTCATCATTGATGTTTCTATCTCTCCCTTCCTCTCTGGAATCAATAAATACGTAAAACACACACACACACACACACACACACACACACACACACACACAGAAAAAAACAGAATTAAAAATAGGGTTGGGGGAGAAGATAGGTAAATATCAAAAGCACAGTAGTGTATTTCAAAGCTAAAAGTATATTGTATGACAGCAGTTATGTTAAAATTTTGAAATGTTATATTTTAAGGGCAGACACATGTTTTGTAAGTATAAAATAATGACTACAGAAGAATATGCCCAATTACTAATGATGGTTGCCTTTGGGGAGAGGGAAAGATTGTGAAGAACAAGGAGGTAAAGCTTCATTTGTATTGTACTGTTTTTTCCCCTTAAAAAATGTAAAGGTCTGGATCAAATTATTGAATATTTGCCAAATTGTTGAGTGTGTTAATATTTTTTTGTGTATTGAAAACATTCTATGGTTTAAAAATTTTTTTTAAAGAAATACCCTTTCTGAATGGGTGTGGTACAGGGGTGTGCTGGTGGATAAAGTTGGAAAGATAGGTGAGTCCAGATCACAGAAAACCCAGGGATATGATTAAAGTATGGATTTTTATTCCACTTATAATGGAACCTTTTCCATGACAACTGAGGTGTTATGCAAACTTAAAATCAACTGGAGCAATGAGCTTAAAAGATTCCTGTTAGTTAAATTAGTTGTAAGATAATTTTCAGAAAAAGGTAGAAGCATGACTTCCCTATAAATATAAAATTCTTTAATACACTTTGCAGTTGAACTCATGAGGGAGTCAGTTATAATAACTGATTCAAAGAGAACCCAAAAGCCCTGGCCTGGTGGCTCAGTTGGTTAGAACATCATTCGGATTTGCCAAGGTTTTGGATTTGATCCTCATCAGGGCACATAAAAGAATGAACCAATGAATGCATGAATAAGTGGAACAAAGCGATGTTTCTCTCTTTTTGTCTGTCTCTCTCTGTCTCCCTTCCTCTCTCTCCCTAAAATCAGTAAATAAAAATTAAGCCCTGGCCAGGTAGCTCAGTTGGTTAAAGCATTGTCCCAATACCCCCAAGGTTGCAGGTTCGATCCCCACTCAGGGCAGATAGAAAAGTCAACCAATGAATGCATAAAAATTAGTGGAACAACAACAGATCAGTGTTCCTCCCTCCCTCCCTTCCTTCCTCTTTCCTTTTTCTTCTCTCTCTGGAGAAAAATAAAAAATCCCTGGCTAGGTGGCTCAATTAGAGCATCATCCTATACACCAAAACGTTGTGGGTTTGATTCCTGGTCAGGACACTTACCTAGGTTGTGAGTTGGATCCCTAGTTGGGGCATGTACGGGAGGCAACTGGTCAGTGTTTCTCTTTCACATTGATGTTTCTCTCTCCCCCTTCCTTTCTAAAAAATTAATATACATCCATAAGAAACACTTTTCATTGTTACTGCTTACCTACAATTTACCACATTGTAAAATAGCTGGAAGACTAAGCTAGAATCAGTTAACCCAGAAGGGAGTGCTATATGTAGACAATACATAGTTTTCCACTGAAGCACAAATTTTTCTCTACAATGCATAAACTTTTTATAATTTAAGTTGATATTAGGGTTCTTGTAGCAGGATTTCTTAAAATTGAATAATTTGAAGACTTAGGGAATCAATCACCTCCTTTAAAATGTAATACATAAATTTAAGGCAGTCCTTATATGTTAAGTTTAATGGGGTGGGAAAATTAAATTTTGTTATCTTTGAAGATTGAATCTCTTCAGATTGTAAATTTTGTGTAACTATGCCATTTGTTGAAATTATTGCTAATGTAAGTAAGTGTTTTTGTGAATAGAGCTCCTGGGAAGCCAAGTCAGCAAATTCAGGGGCTTATAAGGAAATTATTGGCTTAGCATAAATGGTAATTTCTTTTGATAGGGAAAGGCAAATGGAAAATTAAGGACTCATTTTGAAAGCCTCTCGCTAGAGTTTAATTTTATGTATCTAAGCTGAAAAAGTAAAACAGAAGATATAGTGGCAGGCTGTTGAATAACTAAAAGATGCTGCTAATTAGTTTAGAGGTCATGTTCATCAGTAGCCAAAAAAAAAAAAGTTTGTCTGACCTGCCCTTGATCTCTCTGATCTTTTCTCATTAGCCTACTGCTTAAAGTTACCTTCTAATTATATATTTCCATTTTTTAAAACTTACTTTGTTTGGCCTATTTCCCAGATTCTTGTCACAGTTTTCTCTCTGTCATAATGGGTTAGATCTTGGAGATGAATATAAGCCAACTAGAGGCCTGATGCATGAAATTCATGCAAGAGTAGGCCTTTCTTTCCCCAGCTGCCAGCACTGGCTTCCCTCTGGCACCCGGGACCTGGGCTTCCCTCGCAGCCCCAGCTTCGTCCTGAATGAAGTCTGGTCTAATTAGCATATTACGCTTTTATTATTTTAGATGACTTTTCAGCCTTTTTCATCTCAAGGTAGGTGCACATAAACTAATTACTAAAACCCTGTGGCACACCAAAAATATATTTTTTTCCCATCTGACCAAAAAATTAAGTATAATTTTGATTAATTCACTCCAGATGGCTATTATGTTGACTGTTGTATTTTTTAATTTGACAGTCGGAGGGAAAAGAGGTCAATGCCCCTGATTAAATAGTCAGGTATTGCTGTTTTAAAAATTCTTGTAGCACATCAGTGTGCCTCATGCAGTATGCGCAGCACACTGGTTGAAAATCACTGGTATAAGCCATTTGATTTATTTTGCAGTATGTAGTTTAGCTAATTTCGCCCCTATGGAAGAACTTATTATTACTGAATTTTTCAGAATTTGCAGCTGCCCAGTAGATGGCAGCATAAATTAAGGGATACCTGTGACTTTGTTGAGTATCTGTTAATATCTTTGTGTTCTGTCTTTCCTGCAGGCTCCACTTCACATCTCTCATTCTCCTTTTCTGTACTTTATTTTTGTGTGTTCCTTTCATAGTGACATAGGCGTGAGGCAAAGCATACTAATCGCATTAAGTTCCTTCACAACAGTAGTTCTATCTACTTCCTGGCTGAAATGACACTTAGAATGTTTTAGTTTCTTACTTGTATAAGATAGGGATTTTCAAATCAACCAAAAAAGAAGGAACACTTTAATTTCACCAAGATCCTGTTTTTGAGCTTCGTTTATATTAAAACTTGTCAGGAAATAAGTAGTGTTTAAATACAGTTTTATCACATAATTTATTCTCATTCTCATGAACCCTTTGGGGCATTTATCCAAGAATCTGTTCCTGCAAATGAAAAGGCTTCTGGACCTTTTAAATGTCAGGAGTTATTTCTGAGAATTGGACTGTATGTACAAGTGATACTCCATCTATATCTTTTCACTTAATAAATACTGTTTTATGTAGGTGTTAAAGAACCAATAATTTCTTTCCTCAAATCCCCAGGTGCCTTGTGACATCTGTCTCTTTAGTTTATGGGTTTTATTTGTTTTGGAAAGTGACATTTGGGCACGTTTCCCCTTTTTGGCAGATGTTATTTGATTATGGATTCTGTTTAACTGAGTTCAGATTTCTGATAGTGATTTATATTCTGAATTATTTTTTAACACGCTAGGTAGTTTAACCTTGAGGTTTTGATCATGTTTTCTATATTTATTGTGATGATATTGACTTGTGCAAATAATTTCTTTTCTCTTTAGGCACCGGAATTTCCTGAGTTCACCACGACAGTCCAAGAAGCTATCAATTCCCTTGGCGGCAGTGTATTTCCTAAGCTTAACTGGAGTGCCCCAAGGGTAGGTCACATCAGTAAATCTCTCATTGTTTGAGTATTCTTTGCTTTGCTATTCATTTCATTTTATGTCCCCACAGAAGGGCTCATTACATTCCTAAGTCTAGGGAAAATGCCATGGAATTTATTTTTATTTTCCCTTGTTATTTTATTTTCCCGATTTTGTAGTACACTTTCCTGGCTCTGTAAAGTACTGTACATTTTGCCAAAAGACAGTTTCAATCTTTTGTGCTGCTGATCATGCTAGAAATATGAGAAAATCTATGTTGTGTCCTTTTCAAAACTTTAGCTGTTCAGTTAAACAGAGATATTTCTCTATTGAAAAGGAATAAAATTTAAATGTCACAGGATCTGGAAATAGAGCAGTTTGAGAAATCAACTGATACCTTCTTACGTTGTTTTATTATTTTAACATTTCATCAACAAGATTTTTTTTTTTAAGTTAGGGTTTGTGGAAACATTTACTATTTTTCTAATCCAACAGAAAACAATTGTATGACAGCAAAGGTCATTGAAAGAATCAAAGACTTCTTTGCATTTTTAGAAATCATATCATGCTTATCTTTATTCTAAAATGAATGAGATTTATTTAATTTAATGTTTATTCTCACTTATTAAAGTTAGTAACATATATACATTGTTTAAATTTTCAAAAGCCCTGGACGCTTTCTTAAAAAATCAGCAGGTCCTGACATGCTTTGCTTCACCATTTCCCATTCCTCAGAGGCTTTCAAATATTTTAGTATATTCTTTTGTTATTTTCTCCTACTTCTTTATTCTTCAATGTTATGTATTATTAGCTTCCTACTCTGGAACAGAAATTCAACTTTTATCTCTGGTTCTCACTATTTCCTATTCTACTATTCTCATCATAGCAATATACTTTTTATTAGATTAGTGTTCAGGGTTTCTAATATTATGATTATGCAAACACTATGTACACACTTGATATATACTATATTATAGTTACTTATATGTTCTTATTCAATATTTTGTTTTCCCTGGAGTTATAATTGTCTTGTTTATTTAGTTGCATGGTTTCAGTGTATATACTATCATTTTAATGGAGTCAAATCTCTGTGTTCAATATACATTTTAATCAGAAGTTCTTCATCTTTTTCAATGGGAAAAATTTAAAAGAAGTTACTGAAACTCATTTTTACTATATATATATATATATAAGCAGTAATTTGAATCATTCCTTATTACTGAACTAGGTTGAGGCTTTCCACTTAAATTGGATAAATTATTTGTGGTTTTAAGTTACTCATTTGTTCTTATTTATTGAGTGCCGACTATGTACCAGTGTTTTTCCATATTGTAGATAGTTGAATAGTTTTTTAAATAATCATTAGTTTTCTCAAAATTATTATTATTTTTTTATTTTTAAAAAATATATTTTTATTGATTTCAGAGAGGAAGGAAGAGGGGGAGATAGATAGAAACATCAATGATGAGACAGAATCATTGATTGGCTGCCTCCTGCATGCCCCCCACTGGGGATCGAGCCCGCAACCCGCAACCCGGGCATGTGCCCTTGACTGGAATTGAACCTGGGACCCTTCAGTCCACAGGCTGACGCTCTATCCACTGAGCCAAACTGGCTAGGGCTCTCAAAAATATTTTATTGTCCTGTGTCTGATCTATCTATGGGAGAAGTATGTTTTTAAATTACAATTATTTTGTCATTGTTAGGCATGTTTCACTAAGTTTTGTGCCTATTATGCCTGATATTCTTCTTTTGTTTTGTTTATATGTATGATTCATCATTTAAAATTGTGATGGTTCAGAATATCTCACCACTTCCACTCTCCCATATTTGATAGACTTGGGTCTTAAGTGCTTTATTATCAAACTTCAAGTGTTCTAGCTCTCCCGAAACAGGAAGAAGATAAAGCGATCTCCTTTTTCTTAGAGAGTAGTTGGTCAGCCTGTTTATTTACACCTCTGTCTTCTAGCCCAAGAGTTAGCATTTCTGATACCTTACCCACCTCCCCCCACCCCTTCTTTCATCATTACCCAGAAAAACCTAGGAAAATGCTTTGCCTGAGTTAAAAGGGTGAGGGCTTTAACATCTGTGTTTATAACTGAGTGTCAACATGCAATGGTGATGCTATTCATTGTTCAGAAGTGTAATTGACATTTGACAGTATAGTTAAATTCTTACCTGGCTTTTTTCTTTAAGCCCTTGTAGAAGTAAGCATTATTAACTTGGTATACAGGCCTATGATTCATTCATAGTAACTAATTTGGCAAAATACTAAGTTGTATGTGTTTTATTATTTAGGATGCATACTGGATAGCAATGAATAGTTCTCTGAAATGTAACACCCTCAGCGACATCTTTCTACTGTTCAAGAGTTCTGATTTCATCACTCGTGACTTCACTCAACCGTAAGTATGTTTCTTGTTCTCCATGTCAGTAGTTTCCCTATTTCTGAGATATTTTCTGTAGATGAAATTTCATTAGACCTAGAACTATTGTAAACAGCAGTTCCATGTAACAATCTATTTCATATTGTCAAATGACCTCTTAAAGCAAACCTTTTTTTTTCCTTTATAGAAATTGCTATACAATGAATATTCCTAAATAGGCTTTCTATATATCTACCCATTAAATGTTCATATTATAAAACTAGTATATAGATGTCTAACTGCTGTGCTTTACATCAGAAATTAATATAAAATAATACTGAATGTCAACTGTAATTTTAAAAAAAGATAAAAAACCTCATCCCCAGTATATGCATATCATAAAAAAACAAAATTAGGAACTATAGCTAAACAAAAACAGGAAATGTAAAACTATCCATGATCTCACCACAGTTTAGTTTGATATACTTAAAAAATCTTATCTACACATATGTACATATATATATATATTTAACTGTATTCTAATTTTTTAAAACAAAAACGGAATCATATAGTTCATATTGTTTAGTAGACTGCTTTTGCACTTGTAGTGTATAGCAAACATTTATATGTGTTATTAAATACTTAAATGCATCATTATTCTAAATTACCTTACTAATATTCCTCTGGATAGTGATGGCATAATTTGTTTGACCAATCGTCTATCCTTATATACAACTCTGCAGTGAATATGTAAATCTTTGTGTACTTTTCTAATTTTTCTCTAGGATAAAGGAAAATGTCTACAAGTGTAATTGCTGTTTTTCTTGTCTTGAGTCTGCTCATGTCATGGTAGGCAGACAGCACAACTGTACTGTTGAGCTGTGGGTGATCTCTTTATGCTTCTTTTGTTCTGTCATCAAATAGCAGTTATTCTTCTAGATTTCTCATCCTACCAAACCAGTTATCTCAACTAATCTTTAAACTGACCTCTAACATAAAGCATACCACAAAATTTAGAAACTTAAGCAGCTGAAAATATTGTATATGCATGCCATTTCTTCCTCATCCATGCAATTTAGTTTTCCTGCCCATTCATTTATTTTAGCTTCAAATTCTTTTTTGAAGAGGAGCCTGGCAGGAAAAAAAAATAAATTTACTACATGTCAGTTATTCATCAATTCTTTTGCATCTGAGTTTGCAGCTTGGGCATATGGATTTAGTATTCATTAAAGAAAATGAAGTTAAGTAATAATATTGGTATTAGGTGTATGGTAGCCCTTGTTTTAGTAATAACGCAGTAGCATTTTTATTCTAGGAGATAGCCTCTGATTAGAGGAAGTCGTGACTATCTTTTTTCTGATATAAAGCCTTTTGACATCTAATGGTTTAAGTAAAGAGGTCTTGAAATGTTTTACATTAAAAATACTGTCTATTAATTCATCAGGTCTGGATTTTTGTGTACCTTTAATATTAGTTGTAGTGAGAGTATGAGGAAATCTTTTTCTTTCCAAAAATAATTGTAAACCACTTTTAATTCCCTGTGACTATTGGTTTTCTAAATCATCTTTCCAGTTTAATGATCTGTCTCTTCTTTGCCCATCTCTCCCTTTTGTCTTACATGAATTTAACTGTGATTCCAGTGGAAATATGAGTCAGTTGTTTTGCATTTTGTACCTTTTGACTTTTACATGGGAAAGAAGTTAAGTCATCAGGTGAATTTGAAGCCTTGAATTAAGAATGTTTACCCACAGAATACCATCCTTCTCTTCATATAAATAATTGGGAGTTGGCAGGATCTAATGCCAAGCACTCAGTTTTCAGCCCAGTAGCACTATTTTTTTTTAAAATATATATTTTATTGATTTGTTACAGAGAGAGAGGGAGAGAGATAGAGAGTTAGAAACATCGATGGGAGAGAAACATCGATCAGCCGCCTCCTGCACATTTCCCACTGGGGACGTGCCCGCAACCCAGGTACACACCCTTGACCGGAATCAAACCTGGGACCCTTCAGTCCGCAGGCCAATGCTCCATCCACTGAGCCAAACCGGTTTCGGCAGCCCAGTAGCACTATTATGTCATCCTTTTCTGGAAATGCTTGTCAGTAGTCAATTACAGAACAACTACTAAGTCTAATCCTATATAATAAAAGGCTAATATGAGAATTGTCCCTTTGACTGGGGGTTCAACCAGGGGGCAGGGACAGCTGGCCAACTGCCCGTGGCCCCTCCCTCTGGCTACCCTCATCCCCAGTGGCCCCCCCACCTTGATCGGGGGCAGGCCCAGCTGGCCAACCACCCATGGCCCCTCCCTCTTCTGGCCCAGCTCGATCAGTTGGGGCTGGGCTGGCTGGAACCCACCTGTGCATGAATTCATGCACCAGGCCTCTAGTTATAACATAAAAATCTTTATTGATAGGACCTTTAATGAAATATAAACTTTTGTCACAGAGTTCTTTTAGGACCCCTTAAAGATTAAATTAAGAGTATAATTCTTTAAATTGGATAGGACAATGTCAGTGACTTAATCATTTCTTTGATCAGTTAGAAAATTGAAGCCTAAATCTATCAGTAATTTATTTTAACAAGCTAGTTAGTAGAAACAAAACCAGAATATAATTTCAACAACATCATTCTAAATGTTCTCTGTACTTTTACTTAATAAAGTTATGATTTCTCCTTTTCAAAATGCTTCAAATTAAAATACAACAGAATAGAATAAAATATTGTAATATATAGTTATAGGTATGTATAAAATTGTGTAATATTATGAAAGTGAGATTATGTTGTTTATACTATTTTGGGACTTGCCTTAAAAAACCCCACAAAGATATTATCAGGATTGCAAGTTAACAGAAGGCCAACTAAAAATAATTTACACATACAGGATTTTTAAAAAGATATTATTTAACAAGAAGCCTGCCAATGGCATTTTTCTAGGTTAATCTGTAGCTTGTCATGGTTACCAGGGACCAGACTCCTTTAGTCTTTCTCTGCTGTCATCCTTGGCTATTGGCTTGGTATTTGGGTTTCTTACCAAATGGTTACAGGATTGCTGCTATAATTCCAGGTATCTCATAAAGACATGACACTACCTGAATAAAAAATACGGCATATTTCCTCTCCTTTGTATGTGAGCAAGTAAAGCATTCTGGAAGCTTCCCAGGATACTTCCTATCAGGCTCATTCTTTGCACAGTTACCCAGCCTAATCCAGTAGCTGGCAGAGGGAACAGAAATGCTGTGATTGGTTTAGACCAGGGGGCTCTCAAACTTAGCAGGCATAACAATCATCGGGGGAGTCTGATAAAACACAGATTGCTGGTCCCCACCCCCAGAGTTTCTGGTTTAGTAGGATGGGAGTGGTGCCCAAGAGTGTAATTTCCAACTTTCCCAGTTGATCCTGATGCTGCTTTCCAGGCCCTCGCCACGAGGACTACTAAAGATTAGTCAACACGTGTACCCCTGGGGTCCCAGAGGGGATATCGGACCTCAAGTTCTTCCTGATAGGAACAGTCACAACTCTGTTAGCAAAGATGAAGGTTGGGAATAGCTAAAGGGTAGACCTTCAGTTTTGTCTGAAGGTCATACATCACTTTGAATGTTTCTTGCCACACTCTTGCTGATTAAGTACACCTATTTTTCCTGTTCCTCAATTGGCTGTGAGGACCAGCTGTGACTATAGTGGGAGAGCTGCTGTGCAGGAGACAGCCTTATGAGGCAGGACTTGCTTTCAGTGGGGCTTTGGTGCTCCCTGAGTCTGCCCCTTGAGTGTGTTGTTTATGAATGTGAAGAGTTGTAATCTGGTATGGTCTCATACTGACCACTGGGTACACCGGCTCTTGGGTCTCCAAAGTCAGCCACTGCCTGGGGCCATCCATCAGGAGCTACAGAGGGATTTGCCGATTCCTCCTCTTTGTATCAGGTTTGGAAGTGCCCAGATGAGGCCCAGCTGTGGAGCAAGGCAGGCTGGTGCTGGTACCGGGTCTTGGGCCTTTTATTGAAAGATTTGGGGCTCCCTCACCCAGCTTCAGCTTGTTTGACAGGTTTTTAGCCTGAGAAAGGACAGACCATTCATATGCAAAAGCCACAGCACACAGCTTGGGTGGGATTGTAAATTGGGTGGGGCAGGGTCACAGAGAATCACCAGGGCAAAGCAAACAGAAATGGCTGCCAGTCATCTCTGTCTAGAAGAAAGTCGTCCCTGAGTTCCTGCCCCATGCCAGACTGTCCAGTTTCTCCCTGTATGTGTCTCGGTCCCCCAGAGCCTCACCCGGCACTGGAGCTCAGAGGAAGTGGGAGCTTGTAAATTCAGTTTGTGGTGCCAGCCTTTTAAGAGGAGCGGTGAGGGAATAAATAATGCAAATGTTTTAAAATATGATATGACTGAAGAGATTTCTTTGTTTCTATTAGTATAGTCATATTTTCTGCTAGTATTGTTTCTGCTAGTATTCTCAATGTAATAAGTAGCCTTAATTTAAAGATTTTTTTAAAAACCTGGACTGTTAGGACTATATTAAATTTATATAAGGATCATAAAAGTTCAAGTGTTGTTAGTACTCTTAATTATCTCACTCATTTTTGCTTTTTCAGCTTACCTTCTTCAGAATGTAAATGGGATATAAATATCGACATACAACATTCCTTCCGTATTTGGACTGGGCTCTTGAAAATATTATTGTTGACCTTTACATTCAGTTTTAACTATATGGCTCTCCACTTTATTTTCCTTTCAGGAATGATAACTTGGCCATCTGGTTAATCATCTTAGTAAGAAGAAGCCTTGTCCAGTAACTTCACAATGCCACATATGTGCGCACTGCTACCTTGAAATTAGTCAAGTTTTAAAAATAACATTAAATGCTAAACCAATCAACACTTTCTTTTATATGATAATAGAAAGCAACTATGTATTGTAATATGTATCTTTTAAAGTAGCAGTAAGGGTTAACCAAGGGTTGAAATCATAATTTGTAGGAATATAGAAACATGAAAAAATTAGATAACAGAGCATTTGAGATCTTGTTTCCCGATATTGTCC